ATATCACTGCTTGTTTTTCCTACTACTCATACCCTATTTACTACCCTCACTATCACATCAAACAAAAAATAATAAAAAAGGCATGAGGCTCGTGCTTGCAACCCATGCCGAGCCTTATGCCACGCATGGTAGAAGCTCTATAAATAGAGCTTCTGGTCAAACCATAAAAGGAAGAAAAGGGAGGGAGTGACACTGCAAAAAAAAAAAAAAACAAACAACACAATCTTCTCTGTATGAAGGAACCTCAACGTCAAAGCTCTCTGCAAGAACAAAAAAATCATATAAGTCTTCATTTTAAAAAAAAAAAAAAAGAGAAACAGAAAACTCAGAAAAGTTCAAACTTCGATTTACGTCAATCGGGGCTTATTCTTCCGAAAAAGACCTAGGATCTAAACTCAAGAGACCGAAAGGAGCATTGCGATGAATTTTAGTAAAAAAATTTTTTTTTTTGAATTTTCTAATTTTTTTATATATTATTATTTTTGTTATTTTAAGTATTTTTTATATATTTATGCATGATAAGTTTTAAATTTGTTATGATAAGTTTTTTAATTGTTTTAATAATAATAAAAATGAAAATAAGTAAGATAATAATTAAAAATATATATATTAAAAATGCCTTAAAAAAATAATAATAGAATAATTATTATTATTTTCCTTGCTTAGATGTTGGATGGAATAAAAAAATAATTTCCTAAAAAAATAATTTCGCCTAAATATTGGGGAATTATTATTAATAAATTTTCATAAAAAGAAATATATAAGAAATTTTTTAATTTTCAAAAATTATTAAAATCGAACTTACTTCGAAAATCTGCCTAGATGTTGGAGATTTTTAGAGATGTCCGTATTTTCTTAAAAACGAAACCTTAAACACTAATTCTTAATTTTCAAAATCCTAGGTTTCTAAAACCCCTAAAATCCAAAACCCTAAAATTCAAAACCCCTAAAATCCAAAATCCCTTAAATTCAAACCCCTAAAATCCGAAACCTCTAAAATCCAAAACCCCCTAAAATCTGAAATCTCAAACCTTTAAACTCTTAAATCCAAACTCCTAAAATCCAAACCCTTAAATCAAAACCCTAAACCTCAAATTTTAAAACTGAAACCCTAAAATCTTCAAACTCTAAAATCAAAACCCTAAACCTTCCATGCCTTAAAACCAAACCCTAAAACCCTCAAAACTTAAATCTAAACCCTTAAAATCTGAATCTTCAAAATCTTGAAACCTTAATCTTTAAAACCTCTACTCAAGCCCTTACTCAAAACATCCTAAAAATCCTAAGGACACGTGTGAAAATTCTATTTGAAGCAATTTGTTCCTGAATTTTGCCTAGATGATGGGGTATTTAAGAAATTTTACTTCGTTAAGTCTTTTCACATGATTTCTTAATTTGCATTAATAATAAGATTAATAAATAAAAAGTATAGCAGTAAATTGGGATCTTAAATATAAATAGTCACACTAAGCTCTGCCTAGATATCGGAGAGTCGGGATGGTCTCATTATACTTAAGAATCCAACTTTAAAATTGCATCTTATCCTACATAACATTCATTGACATACATACGTTAGCATGTTATTATTAGAGATTATTTGTATTATCCTGTCTTTAATTTTTATTTACTACTTGGTAATAAAATATTTTATAATAAAAAAGAATAATATATTTTAAAAAGAAATTTTGATATTATAAAATTAAAAAAATAACATTCCAAAATAAATAATTCTTGGTACTCTGCCTAGATGTTGGAGAGTCACCAACAATTTTCTATAAAGAGTGTTATTTCATTTTAAGGATTGTTGTGTTAAATCTTAAGCGAAAAGAGTTGTTTTAAATTTTACCTAGAAGTTGGAGAATTTTAAGATAATTCTTTAACTTAAAGATTTTCTCAATATTTCTAAATAAAAAATTTAGCAAAAATATTTTTTAAAACGAAGGGAATTAGTATTAAATTTCAAGTCAAAACCATTTTTATCCATCACCGAGAATAACGCATAATTAAATGGTACTAATTTATGGGCGTTGTGGGGGTGCTAATCCTTCCCCACACGTAACCGACTCCCGAACCCAACCTGATTTTTCGTAGACCAAAATTTATCTTTTTGATAAACTTTAAACCCGTTTTTATAGTTTTATTAAAAAGATAAATTTTTGGGTGGCCAATCACACCCTAACAAAGATTGGTGGCGACTCCTTTTTATTTTTTTCAATTTTAAAACCCATTACGTCTAGCAGTCCCAAAACCGTTATGACAAAAGATAAATAAACTTGATTAAAATTTTGAAAAAGATTTATTTAGTACATATTCTGAAGTTTTATATTTTGGTACTAAATAAATAATATGATTTTCAAAGTTCAAATAAACCTTTTTTGGTTTCATATTTCTCAAACCAAATCTATCTAAAGATTATTTATTTGACCTTAAATGAAAGTCCAATTGTTGTTTTTAAAGTAAATTTATTTTTTTTGGTTTTAATACAATTTTGATAATATTAGTTTAGGGAAAAAGATTAACTTAAGAAAGCTATTTTACAAGAACAAAGTTTTCTAACATTGAAATTATTTTATTTTTCTGAACTAATTCACAAAGTTTTAATATTTGAATTTTATATGGTTGGAAAGCTCTTTGAGTATACTTTCTAATGGATTAAAAAAAAATCTAAATCTAAATTTTCTAAGAAAAGATTTTGAATTTTTACTAGACACTCTGTAGTTGTCAGAAAAACTGCAAAAGGGTAATTTTGAAAATTCACTATAATTCGTACTTAATGAATTAGGTGATGAATTTTATATGGATAGAAAGCCCTTTAAGTTTAGTTTCTAAATCTTCAAACGGTTTGTGATTTGAATTTATATAACTCAGGATATGATCAAATAGTAACTATAGTGCAAAATATGAGACAATCACCTAGCCATTGATAGGATCGATCCCCTCATGGAAAGGATAGATCGGGTCTGGGCGGAATCACACCAACAGCTATTTTTTTCATGCATTCAATGGCTACTTTCACTTCCTAAGCTTCCCCAACGGTTACTTCTTCAATTTCTCTATATATTGGGTACTCCAACACACCAAGAAGATTTATGCATAAAGAGAACAAGAACCAACAAGCCATATTTTCATTGTCTCAAATAATCAAGAGTTTTTAGAGCTTTAAAGTCTATATCTTTGTATTTATTGTATCCAAATTATATTTGTTGTTCATTCATCATTTTCTTGTACTTAAACTTAGCAAACACTTAGCCTTAGAGAGATTGTTCTATTGTTTGCAAAATTAAGTTTGACATACAAGGGTGGAAGAGAACAAGATGTGAGGTATCCTCTTGAGAGCTTTGTAGTGAGATTGGGTAAAAAACTACAAAAGGTAGAGGTTTCTATCTTAAGCCTTAGAAAGAAAAAGATAGGTTGTATTTTCATTTCAAGAATAGTGGATTGAAACCTTGGTGTGGACAACCAAGAAGAGAGGACGTAGGTGCCTTATGGAAAAGAACCGAACATTTATAAATCATTATGTTTCATTTCTCTATCCCTATCTTCTTACAATTTATTATTGTTTATATTTGATTTTAGGTTCATTAATTGTTATTGTTTGCGTTATATTTTCATCAAAAGTGCTTATTGTTTTAATTTTCATTCAACTATATTGAAATCATTGTTTGGGAAGAATTTGGAGAAATCCAATTCACCCCCTCTTGGATCACCATCTCACCTAAAAAGCTAACAAATAGCTTTAAGGTGGTAGCAATGGGGGATTTGCCCCCACTTCCTGAAATTTTATCATATGGTATAATAATACTCAAAATCTTATTGCAAATTTTAATTTTGCCCTAGGTAAAAAAAATGAAAGGTGATATTTGCATCGCTAGGATTCACATTTTGGATCATTTGTTATTATTTTAAAAACCACTCAGCCAAAAGACTTAAATTGTTAAGTAATAACGAAAAATAATTGTTTACTAACCAACAAATAATGGCAATATGAAGACCATCCTGTTTGTTCTTGTATCTAAGTGTTTTCTTTTCCTTTGCATTTTGCTTCCTAAAGCAATTGCAATAGTTAAATTGATAATTAAATAGAGTTCATACAACTTGACTATGTGCTTAATATTTAAGCCTTTGCCACTAAAACAGTTAATAAAAAATAAATGGAAATTTGGTCTCTGGATTTTATAGTTTGATAAAGTTTATCTTAGTTGTCTTTATATTTTTATAAAAATTTAGCATAATTTTTTAATATGTATGCCCCCAGTGAGTCAATTTTCTGGATCTCACCCTGCCTACTTCTGTGGGCCTGTAAAAGCAATGTATTGATCTAAATGCTCAACTCTTGATCTAAATAGAATTTATTAGTCTAGGAATTTTGCTTGTTCAATAATCTCTCTGCAATTGATGTTATTCCCTTTTGAAAATTTTATAAAATTTATAACTAGTAAACAACATTTAAAATATTTAAAGCGTTTATTCACCTTATACTTTGAAGTAAAAACAAAAACTTGGATCTAATGCTTAATTTCTTCCTCTCATTTGTTAGTTAATTAGTTAGGACTTGTGGTGGATGTTATATGATAAAGGAGTATTTCTTAGCTATATATTGATGTATTGAGGATACTTAGAGTGAAGCCAGTTTACAAGTGTTGGAACTGGTTTAAAATACTAAGTTTTCTTATTATCATACATTTACACAGGGATCTACTTTAAGTCCTCACTCTTGGTGCCAGTCCATGGATAAACTTACAAATATATTCAAGATGGTATCCTTGTAATGCTATTTGCAAATGATATTATTAGAAGATGAGACTTAGGTTAGAGGTAAATGAAAGTTAAATTTTGAAGAGTACTTTAGGATGGTTGGCTGTAGTTAACCGGGACCGAAACTGAATAAATGGGGTGCAATATTGTGGAAAACATAGAGAACGGTGGTGTTAAAATATGGAAATGTGATAGGACAGTTGATGTTCTTCATTTTATCTTTTGCTGTCTTCAGTCCAGATTGATCATCCTTGAATGTCATTCAGCATTTAGATCCTCTTCTGTATACATTTTGCAGAAGTTTATCCTTGGTGGGAGGCTCTGGGCCAGTTGCTAGGTCTCTGCTTGTTACCTTATCGCTGCTCACTGTTCTTGTTATTATCTTTTGTGTATTTGTTGCAAGGCATCTTTGGCATCCATTTTCTCCATACAATGCAGGATATGCAATTCTGGTGGTAGCAATTGTCTTTACTATCTATGTAAGTCATCTCCTTTTACCTGTTGCTTGAATTCTTTTATGAGGTTTTAGAACAAGCACTGTTGGGGTGATCACCCTGGATGCCAGCGGAGTTAATGATTTTTTAAGAACTTCATGAACTGCAAATTTTGGATAAGACTAGGTGCCAATTTATAATTGTTAGGATTTCTTAACAGTTATATTTCTGTTATAAATTTTCTGAACAAAATTTTCATGGACATTTATCGAAATTAAATTTTCACGATTTAGTCTAAATGAACTTTTATGTTCCAATTTAGAAGATAATGATCTGAACTTTAAAATATTTTTTGGTTGAATATACAGTAGAACCGTTTCATTTGATCTTTTGGTGAAATATACAGTGGAACCCTTTCATTTGATCTGGATCAACTGCAGATTTTGTACTGGAAATGAAGTTATTGTAGAAGCTTGGCCTTCTCTGATCTAGATAAGACTAGGATAGCCCCTTTTTATATGGCAAATGCATTTTTAAATTAGTATATCTTTTGGATAACCTTTTGTCTCTTATTTTTGTTAACTTTCTCTTTTGGGTTGTCCAAGTTGCTATTGATTTTAATAGCACAGTTTATTTTGATAGTTATTGATTCTTCTTTTCCTCACATCAGCCCAGGACCCAGGAATCATTCCACGCAATTCACATCCCCCAGAGGAGGAGTTCCGCTATGATTCTTCTGTTTCAGATGAGGTTGGCAACAGGCAAACACCCAGCCTTCAGTTCCCTCGAACCAATGAAGTTATGGTTAATGGAATTCATGTGCGCGTGAAGTATTGTGACACATGCATGCTTTATCCCCCTCCCCGTTGCTCCCACTGTTCTGTTTGCAACAATTGTGTGGAGCGTTTTGATCATCATTGCCCTTGGGTGGGGCAATGCATTGGACTGGTATGTTGTTTATCTGATAAACCTGTTTATTGATACTGGTCTGAACGTTTCTTGCTTGCTGCTGTTGAGCAGTGTTCTGTTAGGAGGCTGACTGTTGTGTACATGAGCAGCGCAATTTCCGGTACTTCTTTTTGTTCGTTTCTTCAGCAACTCTTCTCTGCATCTATGCGTTCTCCATGTCAGCATTGTACATCAAGGTTCTGATGGATGATCACCATGGAATAGTTTGGAAAGCCTTGAAGGAATCTCCTCCATCTATCATACTAATGGCATATTGTTTCATTTCTCTGTGGTTTGTAGGTGGGCTCACTGGGTTTCACTTGTACCTCATTGGAACAAACCAGGTCTGTTAAACTTCTCCTGGTTGCTGTATGATGATTTAAGTTGTGTTTGATCTCAATTATTTCAAATCACAGATCTTTATTTTATTTTATTTTTGAAAGGCACATATATAGAGCTTGATTTAAGTACGATAAAATTGACCCAAGTCTTATATTGTTTTTTTTTTTGCCCTCCTAACTTGTGAGAGTTTGGCACATAAATATGGAAAAATATCCACTGATGAAATATATTAGTAAGTTTTAGGCCTTCAATCTTGCTCAAAAAAGTTGGGAATAGAGGGTGTGTTTTGGGTGGGAGGAGAATAGCACGATTTGCATTTTGTGTAGTGTATAAGAAAGATACATTTTTGTTTAATTCCACGAGTATTTTAGGAGTTTAACTAATGTACATTCATGTCTTCCAGACTACCTATGAAAATTTTCGTTATAGGGCTGACAACAGAATCAATGTTTACAATCGGGGTTGTCTGAGTAATTTTCTTGAGGTATTTTGCACAAAGGTCAAGCCCTCAAAGAACAATTTTCGGGCTTTTGTTCGAGAGGAGATACCAAGACCTACTTTACCAAGTAGCAGGGAAGCAGAAGCAGAAGATCTTGGTGGAGATCCACGTTTGAAGGTTGAGGATGATCTGGAGATCGGTGAAGATCTATTGAAGATCTCCCAGCGACGTAATATCGAGGAAATTGACGAGGACATCTGCAGTAGAGGGAGCAATGGCCCTCCTCATACTACCTCGGAGGTTGATTCTATTCTGGGTTCAGATAATCGAGCTCCTACAATTCAATCTGACACTAGACACTCAAGTTGGGGAAGAAGAAGTGGCAGTTGGGAAATTGTACCCAATGTCTTTGCCAATTCCACAGTTACTGAAAACAGAAGCTATATCATAACAAAAGAAGCTCGCCAACAATGTAGTAATTTTATAGTTGCATGCATGAGTGAGTGCAGTCTCTTGATAGTGTTTTCCCTGAAGGAGGGAAGTTTCATTGATAGAGAAATGAAATACAATTGGGGATGAAATTACCCCCTGTAGGCATGAAAGCTTGTATAACCGAATTCTTTCTTTTCTTCTTCTTCTTGTGGGAATTGTAGCACTTTTTGTTTTGTTTTTTTTTTTTTTTTGTAGTTTCGTTTTGGACAGCAGTCCATAGGAATTCTTTTAGTTTTTGAGAAGATAAGTGAGTAAGTCGCTTTTATTCTTTCTCAAATTTGTTGGGGTGGCATTGAGTGCCAGTTTGTTTCTATTTCACTTGTACAAATATCCTAGCACTGCTGAACTGAATTATTAAAAGGCCTCCGTCTTCCTCGTTGATAATTACATAGAAAGTTTTCAATGACTATATTTAACTTGAGTAGTCAGTTTGAACTGCTTCCATTTAGGACGTTATTTTGTTTTTTTTTTAGAAACGAAAGATGTTTTTTTTTTCTTATGAAGTGGCAAAAAAAACATTTGTTGATACAACTAGTGTCTATTTGTGGTGTCTACCAAGAAAGTGGAGCAGTTCTTTTATTCGGACAATAAGTTCATATGTTTGCTTTTATGTTTGGGAAACTTGCGAGTGACGTTAGTGCAACAATGTTCTCTTAACACATGAATTGGCAGCGACTCAAAGCAGCTGTTAGGTCGTGAGACTAGTTTCAGTTAAGATTAAAAATATTGGTGATGATGAAATTAATTATTATAACAATTAGATTGAGTGCTATAATAAAGATATTGAATACTATAGCGGTGGGGGATATGTAACATAAGTAAATGCAGTGATAAATATAATAGCAATTATTTAACCAAAAATAGTTATTAGTATGTCTGAAAATGAGTTAGTTGAATGCTTAATCAAAGGTGATCAACTGGCATAATTAAAAAGAATTAATTATAATATTGGTACTTGAACTTTGAAAAAATATATAAATTGATAATTTAAAAAAATATACAATTTATACTTTAAACTTTCAAATATTACATATAATTTATGCCTTAAACATTCATATTATGTATCATATTAATTCAAACTCTAATTCCATTATATTTTATCAGCGTATATATGTGACGTTTAATAAATATTATCAAATTATATGTTTCCTACACATATTATCAATATTTTTTCAATATAAATTTAAAATATATATTTTACCTAAACTATAAACTTGTTTAAGATATCATTTTTGTCACATGACATTCATGTGAAAGTTTTTACAAAATATTTAATATTTTTATTTAACAAATAATAAACATATAACAAAATTATACTTACTAAATACCATATGAGTGAGTTAACAACAATATTAGAATTTAAATTAAAATGATATATTCTTTGAAAGTTCAAGATGCAAATTATATGTTTTATATCATTAAATATTAATTTGCACACTTTCTCAAAGTAAAGATACTAAAAGTATAATTAACTCAATTAAAAATATCTTATATTTCAATTTTACACTAAGACAATGATTATCCTGGTTAAAGAAGTTAAGCCATTATGAGAGACAGTAAACTACTGATCCCTTTTCAATCTCCAATTGAAGGGCCAGTGAGATTGAAAACCTTCTATTATATTACACTGTTGGGATCTATATAAATCATCGCACGGTACAATTGAAGGTAAAAGATGCCGATAAGAGTACTAATCATGTTCAACGCCAATAGTTTCCTTCCAATACTCTTCTGATCCCCGTATCTATGTATAGCAAAAGACAATATTAATATCTTACGGACTTAATTAAGTGGTCATAGTATCGATCGGACAATCTCTCACTATTTTTTTTTCCTTCTAACTAGTAATCAATGGTAGGGTGGTTAATTACTTTCAATTCCAGATCTGGGTTACATGGTTTAAAATAAGAGGAACCTTGAATGGTTTAAAATCATATGTATTTATTATAAATAAATAAATTTGATTCATCCCATCCGAATATCTTGACATGGAAAATGGTGAATCCGTGGATATCTATCCTCGATTTCTAACCATCAATTCTAACTACACAGTAAATTTATATAGGAAGCCTAAAAACAAGATGCTTTTTATAAATTCGGAGGATTGTGGTTGTCATGCCAATGCCAACCTGACTCTTTCAAAAAATAGACTTTTTCATATCCCTATAAAAGGAAGCAACTATAAGAAACCTTAAGCATCAATACATTCATCGGAAAACAAATTAAGCCTAGCAACATCAACCCTTTCAAGCAAACACAATAATAATAATGGCACCTCAAAGTCATTTCATTAATGTATTTTTAACAATCTTCTTATCTGTCTATGTCCTTTCTCTCTCACCATCAAAGATAGCAGCTTCTCCAGCGTTAACAGCCAAAGTATGCAGCGGCAAGTCAATCTTGAACCGTGATTTCTGCTTGAAAGCTCTTACCACTCCCCAAGCCGCTGCTGCTAAATCCCCGAAGCAACTTACAAATACTGTCATGACATCAGCAGCCTCAAATGCTCAAACTACACTCAATGTGATCACCGCAATGACTAAGAACCCAACTTCACCAGGGGGTCTGAAAGCTCTCAAAACTTGCGAGGATGTCTATAAATATGCTGTGAGATCATTTGGAATGATACCTGCAGAACTGAGTGAAGATGCAATGAGCGCAAACTATGATGTTAGCGTTATTGGCCCTGAAGCTGATCGATGTGTCAAGGCATTGGCAGCCGCCAAGGTTAATGCTCCCCAAATTGCTGATGGAAATCGGAATTTGCAGTATTATTCAGCAATGGGAAGTGAAATAACAGCAACTTTGAATTAGGGGGTGAGTCGAAATTAGATAAAAAGGAGCCAAACTAAAATAAAAGAACAAAAAAAGACAGAGAGAGAGAATAATGCGCGGATGTATGGTCTTGCTTACAGGGAAATGAAAGGGTGTCAGTTGTTGTTGCTTTGGTTTATATTGCAAATTGTAATCTTGAGAATGAGAGTATTTTGCATCATCTTTTAAGTTATATAAAGTTTGCAAACTTGATTGTTACATTCATATATAGTTAATTAGTAAATGAAATGATCTCTTTTGGTTTAGTGATTGATTATAATCATGTATTACGTATTGTACTTGATTGTTATTATTTAATTTCTTTGACTAATCAAAAAAGAAAATTTCTTTAAGAGAGTTAAGTTTCAAGATTCCAATTTTTTTTTTCCTTTGAGAGCATTAAGGTTAGTATTTCTATCTAGTCCTATTCCATTTTTACCATTTGCATTAAGTTTAAGAGACATTATAGGGGGTTAAGTTTTTAGTGACATTTTTTTCAACATTTAGCGGCGTTTATAAATGTCACTAAAAGATTTGTAGCGTTTACAAAAAATGCTACTAAGAGTATTGGTTATACACACATCGAGGAAAATAGCATTATTTTTTATAAAACGCTGCTAAATTAGTTGTGTTTGTATCTACAAAACATCGCTAAATTAGTGGTATTATCAGAAAAACATTGTTAAATTAATGATATTTGTATATGAAAAATGCCGCTAAATTAGAGGCGTTTATATAAAAAAAAAAATACGGCTAATTAAGCGGCATTTTTATGATACGAACACCTTAATTTAGCAACATTTTTTTATAAGAACGCCGCTACTTTTAGTGACATTTTATGGTACAAATGCCATTAAATTTAGAATTTAGTGGCATTCTTGAACACGAACGTCGCGAAATTAAGAAATTTACTTTTTTTATAAAAATTTTTTGTTAATATTTATTATTTTCATTAACAAAAAATGTTAAAAAAAATAAAAATGAACTTAAATTCAAAAACTGAAATTAATAAATACTTAATTCATGTTCAAATCTACATCTAATTAACACAAAGTTTAATAATTACTATAATAACATTCAAATTTTTTTAATACATTAACCAAAAAATTTAAAATGTATGAAATTGATGACTACATAGATTTGGAAGAATGTCATTTGATGAAAGAATGTTTCCACCGTAGTCACTAGCGTGCTCAAAAGCCTACTGAATAATATCATACAAGTTTTAACATTTAATAATAAGTTTTTTTATATTAAAAAATATAAATATTTACTAAATATAATACCTGAATTGGTGGACCACTGAGATTAGTTCTTGAAAATTGTTGTTGCACAAAATTTATAAGATGATAGAATCGATCATGCAACTACTAAAATTTTGCATACTCTTGCTCTATTCTAGCACTTTTTTTTCAATTTTGGCACGCTCCTATTCTTTTTCTGCTTCCATTTGCTGGAAACGTTGTTGCATAGTTTGCAACTCTTCTCTCAATATGAAAATGTCTTGTGAAGATTGACTTATTGATAATGTAAATTGCTGAGAGCTATGTCCATAGTAGGTAGATGGTGTTGGACCCAATCCAAGGCCTCGGACCCGTCCATGCCTTTCTTTTACAGCAACTTTTGTGAAAATTTAAATTTTCAATTCTTGCATGTTAACAGAATCATCATAAGCTACTTCAATCTTAGCGGTCATTTTCTCTTTCGCTTTCTCCTATAAATTAATCATATAAAACTATCAAGTTTAATAAATAATTCATAATATGTTAAAAAGAGTAAATATTTACTTTATGTTAAAATAGATGTTACAAATTACCACAATTTCTTGTCTTTCGACATTTAGGTAAGATCCGTTTTTTTTTTTTTTTGTGTGTGTTAAGCGAAAAAGTTTCACACATCCAATTTTACCACCATCTCAATCTTCTATACAAAAACATATGTTATTGTTAAATATATATCAACTGCAACTTATTCATACATATCAAGCCTATCAATCAAGTTCAAAATTTTGAATAAGTTTAATATTATGTATTTAATCTATCTAAATTGTTAAAATATAAATATAACCATAAAATTATATTTTGGCCCTTTGACAACACAATAGTCTTAAACAGACATAAACAATAAAAGCATTTTGGCCTTTCACACATATCGATCATAGAAACCAAATTCATTTATTTGGACAAGTTTAATATCATGGATTGAAGCCATCCAAAAGTTTAATTTGTATTTTTTCCTTTTAAAGGCAAAAATAGTCCCAAATAAACATAAACGATAACTTTTTCACATATATCAACCATAAAAAAAAGTTCAATCATTCAGACAAGTTTAATATCAAGTATTGAAGCTATCCAAACTGTTAAAATAGAACAACAACAACAAATTTGTATTTTTACCTAAATAGATGTAAACAATAACTTTTTCATACATATCAATTGTGGCAACTAAGTTCAATACTTTGTATAGGTTTAATATAATGTATTGAAACTATCAAAACTATTAAAATAGAATAATAACTGTTAATTTGCATTTTTACCTTTTAACGGCACAAAAAGTTCCTTCATTCAAATAAGTTTAAAATCATAAACCTACTATTTCTTTTTGCTTTTTTGTAAAACTTTTTGATCCACTTGTGTACCTATATTTCTATTGCTTTCTACTACCAATCCCAATCTATTATATTTCTTATCATAAAAAATAATTGTGTATACAATAGAAATACAAATATTACCAACTTAAAGCATAAAACACTTTTATTATTTCATTATACTATACAAAGTTATAAATTAGTACCTCTCATTTTCTTGAAAACCAAAATCTAACTAATTGTTCATATTACCACCTAATTACATTACAGGGTAGATTTTCCATTGTGGCCTCTACAACAGTATTTTGATCAAAACAATTATTCTTCAAATCATGCTTATAGTCTTTCCATTTCTTTTTCAATGACTTAAGCACAAATGAAGTTGGTATTTCAAGTACAAATCTTGACTGTAATAATAAAATAAGAAAAGTTTGAATAAGTAAACCAAATGTAAAATGATTATATTTGTATATGTGATTAATTACACTAATACCTCAATAAAGTTTAAAGCATCGACCTTAACTTCTACTGGAACTTAATGCCATGTTTCATAATGAATAGGCAATTTTATTCTATTACGGGCAAGCATGCCTAGAAATCCAACTAACAGTTAAGCCTCTTTACCAATTGGTTGCCTATTAGAGTTTACAAACACTACAATATGCTCGTTCGGAGGTGGTGCAAACAATTTCTTCTAAGTTGTCTGGCCTCTGGTCTTTCGTTGACCATTGTTATCAACTGTAAAAAATAAAAAATTAATTTGTAAAATGCCAATACTTTAATCATTATAATCGAATTCTAAATATGGGGTATATGATACCTATATTCTAATTTAAAGCAGAATCAATTGACGGGATACTATCTAAACTTGAACCTCCTGTATTGCCAGATCCAATAATAGTTAAAAGTGACTGAGTTAGAACCAACAATATGTTCATTTCCCTTCAAAGGATTCAGCCCATAGCCAATATCAACAGGTGCCACAAACGGTTCTGAACTAATATCTCTTATATGTATTCCTTTCAATCTACTCTTTTGCATTGTAACTTACCTGCAACATAAAAGTGAATATATAAAATATATTAGTTTAGAACATATATAAAGACATTAAGAAGTTAAGAAATCATAACTTACAATATATAAAGAATATATCGATTTAATTAAATCAAAAGATAATGTATGATTTACAATACAATAAATATACAATAGCGAATGTGACATTAATTACATACAAGCATTTATTACATTATGTCTTAAACACTCAAATTACAAAATATAGATGATCTATCATGGTTCATAAATATCTTCATTAACACTTCGAGGACCCACTGAGCGTAGGTACTGGAGATATTTTCATTTAAAGTTTTGTTCAACAAAAGGATAACATTCAATTCCATGTTCAACATCATCTCTGGTATCTAACCCGATAACAAATAAGTCTCTAGGTATGTTTCAAAGAACAACAAACTAACCCATTTCTTAGGGATCTTCAGAATAAACAACTTGTTTGACTTAAGATGAAAAAAACATAAGGTTCACCAATGTGCTATTGTCCAGTGTGAATTAATTAAGAAAGATTCACAAGTGTAAATCCAAACGATCTTTCTTAATACCCTTTGCACTATTCACATCAGCCCAATCACACCAAAATAAGATAACCTTTCACTTGCCATAATAATCCAACTTAATAATGTCATTAATCATGCCATAATGTCAATATTTCCCTCTAAAGGGTTTGTGTCCCTAGCACTAGCATAGCTAGTAGTTGATGAAGTAACAACAACTCTTAAATTTTTATGCTTTTAAATCTCTCACGGGATTTAGTGTGAAATCTAAATCCATTGATGATGAAACCTTTGTATCATTTCATAATTCTGCTCAGACCTTATGAAAGACATTTCACCTCTTCACTAACAAGCCTTTCACTCCAAACCTATAAAGCTGGAATAAATATATATATGTTATTAATGTTAGTTATACCGTAAGCATTCTATGTAAATTTCTCATAATGAAAAGTATGGTATTACTTACAGTTGCTCCTAACCATTTATGAAAGTTTTCAGCAAATAACTCATCAAGCTCTCGAGAGTTTGATTGTCAATAATGTGCATAAGCTCTCAATTATTTCTATATTCACTACAAAGTATCATGATAAAGTATTAACAATAACAAAAAATACAATAAATTATGCTTAATGGAATGAATTGTTTCTTTGCAAAAAAACTTACATGTGAAATGATTCAATTGAGTTATGATGGAAAAGAACATATCAATGTGCTTGTGCATAAGATTTATCATCTAACTCCACCATTTCAGCTTTGCCTATTAGTTATCCAAAACTTCAAAAAGATAACTATAGCAAAGTCAGTATACTGCATACCAATATTTCTCGATGGTCTATTAAATCTCATTT